GTGGAAGATTCTCACTGCTGGCATGGCAGTCAAAGAGAGTCAAGAGGGTTGTACACAATATACTGACCGGTGAAACACTTGCCATGTCACATGGTATTGAAAATGCCATTTTCCTATCAACGCTACACTCTGAACTCACCACTGTTAATGTAAAACATCCAACACTTATAACCTGTGTCACTGATAATCACTCACTTGTTGATGCACTCAAGTCTACAAAATCAGTCACTGAAAAAATAGTGCGTTTTGAGATAAGCAGCATGAAAGAACTTATCCAGACTCAAAAGGTGGAGCGAGTCCTTTGATGCAACACAAAAGAGTACCTAGCAGAATGCCTTACAAACAAGGAGTTGCTGCTTTCAGGTTACATACGGCACTTAAAGAAGGACAAGGGAAATTTGATTAAGACAAACAGTTTAAAATATCTGTATCTCATATTTCGGCTCTGTGCAGGCAGGAGAGGACCCAAACGCAAACTCACGGGAAACAGGATATAAACTCAAAAGCACTGCTTTATTGCAGACTCAAGGAAAAGATACAAAACTAAACGATACTGGGAAAACACAAACAAAACTTCACAGTGAGGCACACAAGGGAACACACTGCATGTGGGACAACGCGATATAGAACAAAGGGAGACTCTGACATAAATACACAGAAGGTAATGAAGGAAGTGGAAGCACACGGGGAACACAGCTGGGGACAATTACACATGACATCGCAGGGAGGACACGAAAATGAAAATGCTGACACCAGGACGCAGACTTTAAACATAACACAGAGAGAGGCAGAGAGAGAACATGACGGAAAGAGGAAAACAAAGAACACAAGGAGTATGAACAAAGCACAATAACTCACACCACTATATACAAGGTCACACAGAGGGAGACAAGGGGAATAAAGACACGAGGGGAAATCCAGTAAATTAACCTGAACAACTAAGAACCCATAGAATAACAAATGAACTTAACAAGACAGGAACACAGGAAAACTAAGAACGCTGGATCCGATGACCCAGGATCCTGACACTGTATTGTTGTAATGGTATTACTATTTTTCATGCCACAATTTATGTTGCCACTGTTACAGTGTATTCATGTCAAAAGGAAAAGGACGGGGAGTGGAGAAAAACAAAGCTTCACTTATAAGCTTTAAATTTTCTTTTAAGAGAGTCAATTCTTTTGACTTGTAAGCTTTGTTGCACTTGGACTCTTACTGTAATGAGGAAGAAGCAAAAGGAAATGCACGAGCAGATGTTTATGTGTGTGCAGCAACAGAGTCTAATAAAATGAAGTGAAACTAGCTTAAAGTCTGTTTCATCACTGAGTAACAGTGTCTGTTCAGCTGCTCGCTCTGATCCAACCTTTGGTCTCTAAGAAGAGGCTTCAGGGAGACGTTTGCTACGTTGGACTGTAGGACCATCAGAAATGTGTGCAGTAACAAAACAGGCAGCACTGAAAGCAGCTCTAAGTGTTTGTGTTGTTCAATGATTTGTGCACAACAACAACAATGGGACCTCTCTCATCCATCAGTCACCATGTGGACATTTTTCTGACACACTTTGAAGCTGATGGACGTTTTGTGTCTGCACTAAGTACGTTTTCACCAGCTGGAGAAACATCTGTCTACCTCTGACATCCACCAGCTCATCCATACAACAAACACACATCAACAACCAGGAAGCAGCTTCACCTCTGATCACACACACTCAACTCTACTCACTCACCTGGAGGATCAACAACAGTCAGGTAGATGATGCTGATGAGTTTCCATGAGTTTGTTTCTGCCATGAAAACACCACAATTGTATGTTTCAGTGTCTTTAATCATCACATCCTTCAGAATCAAAGACACGTCTCCATCCTTCATCTGTCTGTCCTTCAGATCCACCCGGTTCTTAAAAGATGGATGCTGGTTGTCTGGAACAAAGTGATGATCTCGGTACAAAAGCAAATATTCTTTCTTCAGGTCATCTCTGTTCCAGTGCACAGCTAAGATGTTGTTGTGTGGAGCTCGACATGTCAGAGTGACGTCCTGTCCAGACTCAGCTGTGATGTTTTTCTGGTCTGAAAGAGGAAACAACACAGAGCAGAGAGGTTAAAGGTCAAAGTACAATTATGATCAGAATGATTGACTTTAAATATTTTGTTTATTTCTTCTTACATTTGAGTTTTTAGTCATGTTGGATTTAATGAACCTCTGAACATCCAGCAGGTCACCAGTGACCCACTGAGGGGGAATTTTAGCTTCATGCTAAACATGCAAAGTGTCAGAAACTACAAGATGTTAGCTTCCACAGAACAACAACATGTGCTGATAATAAGTGACCATAATGTGTGAGAGAAAGCAGCCTCTCATTATAAGACACTGTGAGTCTCTGCATGCTGCCTTTATGGAGCTACAGCTGTTTGTATACACTGAACAAAAAGCTTTGTAGCTGCATACTGACTCCTGACACTACACATCACACTGACACACACATTACACTTCTTTGTCTCTGTCACAGCTGGATTACAGATGTTAAGTGTCCACCCAGCCTCATGTCTCCTTCACACAAACAGTGGAAACTGTGTTTGGTTTCTAACAGGTTTACCTGACCTGCTTAATGTGATCTGCTCTAACTTTACCCAAACAATGCTGCTGTACAACTCTAGACTACCAGCCACAAAGACAACAGCTGGAGAAACATCTGTCTACCTCTGACATCCACCAGCTCATCCATACAACAAACAAACATCAACAACCAGGAAGCAGCTTCACCTCTGATCACACACACACTCAACTCTACTCACTCACCTGGAGAAACCCTGAGGTAGATGATGCTGATGGGCTCCCATGAGTGAGTTTCTTCCATGAAGCCATAACACTCGTATGTTTCAGCATCATTAATCGTCACATCCTTCAGAATCAGAGACACGTCTCCATCCTTCATCTGTCTGTCCTGCAGATCCACCCGGTTCTTAAAAGATGGATGCTGGTTGTCTGGATCGAAACGACCATGCTGGTATAAAAACACGTTCTCTTGCAACAGGTCATCTCTGCTCCAATACACACCTCTGATTTTTTTGTTTGGAGCTCGACATGTCAGAGTGACGTCCTGTCCAGACTCAGCTATGATGATTTTCCGCTCTGAAAGAGGAAACAACACAGAGCAGAGAGGTTAAAGGTCAAAGTACAATTACGATCAGAATGATTGACTTTAAATATTTTGTTTATTTCCTTTGACATTTGAGTTTTTAGTCATGTTGGATTTAGTGAACCTCTGAACATCCAGCAGGTCACCAGTGACCCACTGAGGGGGAATTTTAGCTTCATGCTAAACATGCAAAGTGTCAGAAACTACAAGATGTTAGCTTCCACAGAACAACAACATGTGCTGATAATAAGTGAACACAATGTGTGAGAGAAAGCAGCCTCTCATTATAAGACACTGTGAGTCTCTGCATGCTGCCTTTATGTAGCTACAGCTGTTTGTATACACTGAATAAAAAGCTTTGTAGCTGTACACTGACTCCTGACACTACAACACACCACACTGACACACACATTACACTTTGTCTCTGTCACAGCTGGATTACAGATGTTAAGTGTCCACCCAGGTTCATGCCTCCTTAACACACACAGTGGAAACTGTGTTTGGTTTCTAACAGGTATACCTGACCTACTTAATGTGACAAACGCGACAATGGCGTCAAAAACACAGCTGAAAATTAAAATCTTATTTTAAAGTTGAGTTCAAACCTGAATCTAACTGTGATGAGATGAAGTGTGAGGTTGTGAGAAAGTCTCTGACTGCATTCATAGATGTGTCCTTTCAGCTGCTCGCTCTGATCCAACCTTTGGTCTCTAAGAAGAGGCTTCAGGGAGACTGTTACATCCTCTGAGGCTGTGGGAGTGTGTGGGCGTGGTGTTGTCCTCTCCCTCTCCGCCTCCTTCTTTATTGCCCCTCCCCTGTCTCTCTCTGCTCCTGCCTTCTCCTTTAGGACACACCTGCTGCTCATCTGCCCTCGTTTACCACCAATTACCCTTAGAGGTGATATAAGCTGGAGAAGAGCAGTGTGGATGTGGGAGAGGCGTTGCGAGTAGCTCTTAACTGAGCATTGGTTTCACTGACGTAACGGCGGCCTCCATTATTGGGTTTGGTCTGCCTGGTTATTGCCAATAGCAGCGTTGCTGTCTTTTTCTGTTAAAGCCTTATAGTTGTTTTCTTTGTTGAAGTGGTCACTATCTCTTTGGGTTGACCTGTCTGATTTATCATTAAAGCAGCGGTGCTGTCTCTTTCTGTTGTTACTATTTATATGATTATTGAGTTAATTGATTACAATAAAGATTTATTTTGTGTTAAATACCTCTGCCTGGCGTTCTTTTCATTTCAACCCGGATCCAACTCTTACTGTCTCCCCACCCTCTTCGCCTAGCTTTCATGTGGGGACGTAACAGAGACGTTTGCTACGTTGGACTGTAGGACCATCAGAAATGTGTGCAGTAACAAAACAGGCAGCACTGAAAGCAGCTCTAAGTGTTTGTGTTGTTCAATGATTTGTGCACAACAACAACAACAATGGGACCTCTCTCATCCATCAGTCATCATGTGGACATTTTTCTGACACACTTTGAAGCTGATGGACGTTTTGTGTCTGCACTAAGTACGTTTTCAGCAGCTATGGCACCGGCAGGATTCACTTTCACAGACTCACCACCACCAGCTTCACCCCTCCCCTCCCCCTCCAGCTGTAGGCTTTAATATTGAGTTTCCCCACACATGTTTACAGACGAGTTAGAGAGCAAGAGAAGAAGAGACGGATTCATAAATGTCTTTGTTTCTGCTCTAACCAAACAATGCTGCTCTACAACTCTAGACTACCAGCCACAAAGACAACAGCTGGAGAAACATCTGTCTACCTCTGACATCCACCAGCTCATCCATACAACAAACACACATCAACAACCAGGAAGCAGCTTCACCTCTGATCACACACACACTCAACTCTACTCACTCACCTGGAGGATCAACAACACTCAGGGAGATGGAGCTGATGAGTTTCCATGAGTTTGTTTCTGCCATGAAGCCATAACACTCGTATGTTTCAGTGTCATTAATCATCACATCCTTCAGAATCAAAGACGCGTCTCCATCCTTCATCTGTCTGTCCTTCAGATGCACCCGGTTCTTAAAAGATGGATGCTGGCTGTCTGGAACAAAGTGATGATCTCGGTACAAAAGCAAATATTCTTTCTTCAGGTCAGCTCTCTTCCACTGCACAGCTAAGATGTTGTTGTTTGGAGCTCGACATGTCAGAGTGACGTCCTGTCCAGACTCAGCTGTGATGGTTTTCTGGACTGAAAGAGGAAACAACACAGAGCAGAGAGGTTAAAGGTCAAAGTACAATTATGACCAGAATGATTGACTTTAAATATTTTGTTTATTTCCTTTGACATTTGAGTTTTTAGTCATGTTGGATTTAATGAACCTCTGAACATCCAGCAGGTCACCAGTGACCCACTGAGGGGGAATTTTAGCCTCATGCTAAACATGCAAAGTGTCAGAAACTACAAGATGTTAGCTTCCACAGAACAACAACATGTGCTGATAATAAGCGAACATAATGTGTGAGAGAAAGCAGCCTCTCATTATAAGACACTGTGAGTCTCTGCATGCTGCCTTTATGGAGCTACAGCTGTTTGTATACACTGACCAAAAAGCTTTGTAGCTGCATACTGACTCCTGACACTACAACACATCACACTGACACACACATTACACTTTGTCTCTGTCACAGCTGGATTACAGATGTTAAGTGTCCACCCAGGTTCATGTCTCCTTCACACAGACAGTGGAAACTGTGTTTGGTTTCTAACAGGTATACCTGACCTGCTTAATGTGACAAACACAACAATGGCGTCAAAAACAAAGCTGAAAATTTTAATCAGACTTTTAAAGTCAGATTTAATTGGGTGTCCAAATCCATGGGCTACATCTTCATGAGGACCTGGCCTTCCTGGTCTACGTGGGCTAGGTCCTCAGGAGGCCTGGTACACCGAAGGGAGCGTCTGTGAAATTGGACGTTCTTGCCTTCTAGTTTTGTGTCACCAGATGTCTCAGTGGAGTTTAATAAACCCAGCCGTGTGCTCCATGCTATTTAAGATATAACAGGATACCGGCATAAATTCTCGATCATCTCACACTTCTGTTTAATCAGTTTTCTGTTGGACGTTTATTCAGCTGTGTGAAAACTTTAGAACTTTAATCTCAGCCAAACCAATTTACTGAGGAACAAATAAAATACCGAAAAAAGTAAAAAAAAACAAACATTTTTAAGTTATCTAAGTGACTTATACATCGTGTTTACACTTCCGGTGCCCCTTGCGTGTGACAGCCTATTACAGCAGCTCTGGTCATTCTCAGTTTCTTTCTCCTCTTTCGATTCAATTTATTTATATAGCGCCAAATCACAACATAAGTCGCCTCAAGGTGCTTCATAGATACAGAGAAAAACCCAACAATCATATGACCCCCTATGAGCAAGCACTTTGGCAACAGTGGGAAGGAAAAACTCCCTTTTAACAGGAAGAACCAGGCTCAGGGAGGGGCAGCCATCTGTTGCGACCGGTTGGGGTGAGAGAAGGAAGACAGGATAAAAGACATGCTGTGGAAGAGAGACAGAGGTTAATAACAGATATGATTCAATGCAGAGAGGTCTGTTAATACATAGTGAGTGAGAAAGATGACTGGAAAGGAAAAACTCAATGCATCATGGGAATCCCCCGGCAGCCTACATCTATTGCAGCATAACTAAGGGAGGATTCAGGGTCACCTGGTCCAGCCCTAACTATATGCTTTACCAAAAAGGAAAGTTTTAAGCCTAATCTTAAAAGTAGAGATAGTGTCTGTCTCCCGAATCCAAACTGGAAGCTGGTTCCACAGAAGAGGGGCCTGAAAACTGAAGGCTCTGCCTCCCATTCTACTTTTAAATACTCTAGGAACAACAAGTAGGCCTGCAGAGCGAGAGCGAAGCGCTCTAATAGGGTGATATGGTACTACAAGGTCATTAAGATAAGATGGGGCCTGATTATTTAAGACCTTGTATGTGAGGAGCAGGATTTTGAATTCAGTTCTGGATTTAACAGGAAGCCAATGAAGGGAAGCCAAAACAGGAGAAATATGCTCTCTTTCTAGTCCCTGTCAGGACTCTTGCTGCAGCATTTTGGTTTAGTTGAAGGCTTTTCAGGGAGTTTTTTGGACATCCTGATAATAATGAATTACAGTAGTCCAGCCTTGAAGTAATAAATGCATGAACTAGTTTTTCAGCGTCACTCTGAGACAAGATATTTCTAATTTTAGAGATGTTGCGCAAATGGAAGAAAGCAGTCTTACATATTTGTTTAATATGTGCGTTGAAGGACATGTCCTGGTCAAAAATGACTCCAAGGTTCCTCACAGTGTTACTGGAGGCCAAGGTAATGCCATCCAGAGTAAGAATCTGGTTAGATACCATATTTCTAAGCTTTTCAGGGCCGAGTACAATAACCTCAGTTTTATCTGAATTAAGAAGCAGAAAGTTAGCGGCCATCCTGGTCTTTATGTCTTTAAGACATTCCTGCAGTTTAACTAATTGGTGTGTGTTATCTGGCTTCATGGACAGATAGAGCTGGGTGTCATCAGCATAGCAGTGAAAATGTATGCTATGTCTTCTAATGATGCTGCCTAAGGGAAGCATGTATAATGTAAACAGAATTGGTCCTAGCACTGAACCCTGTGGAACTCCATAATTAACCTCAGTGTGTGAAGAGGACTCTCCATTTACATGCACAAACTGGAGTCTATTAGATAGATATGATACAAACCACTGCAGTGCAGTACCTGTAATACCTACAGCATGTTCTAATCGCTCTAATAGGATATTATGGTCGACAGTATCGAATGCTGCGCTAAGGTCTAGCAGGACAAGCACAGAGATGAGTCCACTGTCAGAGGCCATAAGAAGATCATTTGTAACCTTCACTAAAGCTGTTTCTGTGCTGTGATGAGCTCTGAAACCTGACTGAAACTCTTCAAATAAACCATTCCTCTGCAGATGATCTGTTAGCTGTTTGACAACTACTCTTTCAAGGATTTTTGATATGAAAGGAAGGTTGGAGATTGGCCTATAATTAGCTAAGACTGCTGGGTCTAGAGATGGCTTTTTGAGTAAAGGTTTAACTACAGCCAGCTTGAAGGCCTGTGGTACATAGCCGATTATTAGAGATAGGTTGATCATATTTAAGATCGAAGAATTAATTAATGGCAGGACTTCTTTGAGCAATTTTGTAGGAATGGGGTCTAAAAGACACGTTGATGGTTTGGAGGAAGTAATTATTGAAGTTAAATCAGAAAGATCAATTAGAGAAAAAGAGTCAAACTTAACATCAATGGTACTAAGAGTAGCTGTAGATAATATTACATCTGTGGGATGATTATTGGTAATTTTTTCTCTAATGATAAAAATTTTAATTGTGAAGAAGTTCATGAAGTCATTACTAGTTAACGTTAAAGGGATGGTTGGCTCAAAAGAGCTCTGACTTTTTGTCAGCCTGGCTACAGTGCTGAAGAGAAACCTGGGGTTGTTCTTATTTTCTTCAATCAGTGATGAATAGTAAGATATTCTGGCTTTGCGGAGGGCTTTCTTATAAAGCAGCAAACTATTTCTCCAGGCTAAATGATGATCCTCTAGATTTGTGACACGCCATTTCCTCTCCAGATTACGAGTCATCTGCTTTAGGGTATGTGTTTGAGAATTATACCACGGAGTCAGGTACTTCTGATTTGAGGCCTTAGTTTTCACAGGAGCTACAGTATCCAGAGTCGTACGTAGTGAGGAGGTGAGATTATTAACAAGAGCGCTTTCAGAAAGACATCTACTTTGATAAAGTCTACTGTCCACCGCTGTGTAATCAATTATTGTAAATGTAAATGTTATCAGGAAATGATCAGACAGGAGAGGGTTTTCAGGAAACACTGTTAAATGTTCAGGTTCTATGCCATATGTTAAAACAAGATCTAGAGTGTGATTAAAGTGGTGGGTGGGTTCTTTTACATTTTGAGAGAAACCAATTGAGTCTAATAACAGATTAAATGCCATGTTGAGGCTGTCATTTTTAGCATCTACATGGATGTTAAAATCACCCACAATAATTATTTTATCTGAGCTCAGAACTAAATTAGATATAAAGTCTGAGAAATAAGACAAACTCTGCGTAAGGCCCAGGTGGACGATAGATGATAACAAGTAAGACTGGTTTCTGAGTTTCACAGCTGGGGTGGACAATGTTAAGCATCAGGCTTTCGAATGAATTAAAAGTCTGTCTTGGTCTTTCATTAATTAATAGGCTGGTGTGAAAAATTGCTGCCACACCGCCCCCTCGGCCTGTGCTTCGAGATTTCTGGTAGTTAGAATGGCTCGGGGGTGTTGATTCATTTAAACTAACATAATCATCCTGCTGCAACCAGGTTTCTGTAAAGCAGAGTAAATCAATTTGTTGATCAATTATTAAGTCATGTACTAACAGAGACTTGGAGGAGAGAGACCTAATATTTAATAATCCACATTTCACTGTTTTACTCTTTGGTTCAGATGTGGATACTGTATTGTTCTTTCTTTGTAATTGTTTATGTTTAAGTTGTTTGTTGCTGGTTTTTAGTTTGTTTTTTGTCTGTTTGGGAGCTGACACAGTCTCTATGGAGATGGGTTTTTTGGGGGGTAGTAGGAGGAGAGAAGCTGCAGAGGCGTGTAAGACTGCAACTCTGCTTCCTGGTCCCAACTCTGGATAGTCATATTTTGGGGGGTTTAATAAATTTGTCCATATTTCTAGAAATGAGAGCTGCTCCATCCAAAGTGGGATGGATGCCGTCTCTCCTAATAAGACCAGGTTTCCTCCAGAAGGTTTGCCAATTATCTATGAAGACCACATCGTTTCTGGGACACCACTCAGACAGCCAGCAATTTAAGGAGAACATGCGGCTAAACATGTCACTCCTGGTCTGATTGGGGAGGGGACCAATCAGACCATTTTCTCGTAATGTTTTCTAACTAAAGTATTAGCAATTAGTTTCCGCAATCATGTGCTAGTGCTAGTCATGGTCGTTGTTCTCAGTTTTTTTTTTTCACTTTTTTCACCCATGTTTCACCCTCAGCCAAACTGATTTACTCCGGAACAAATTAACACCGAAAAAAGCCAAACAATAACAATTTTAAGTTATCTGAGTGACTTATATATCATGTTTGACCCGAGTGGCGAAAGAGCAGGGGTCTGAAAACAGTGAAGCCGGGAGTCCACTGCTCTCACCGGCTTGAGTGATCATTGAACCCTTGCTATCGAACGGGTGGGTAACAGACGTCTCTGAAAACGACGGTGCACTTTTGAAAATATGTGATACCTTGATAAAATATGCAGATATTTGAAGTTTACACAGCTACTTTCTCGCCTGAAAATGTCTTAAAAACGTATTTTGTCACCCAGAAAAAGTAATAAGAATAATGTTAAAAACTTAGTAGCAGCCACCATTGTTGGAAACTGGAATTGGCTGACCGCGCTATGAATTCTGGTATAGGCAGGGCCATGAAGGACACAAAGGACCCATCCATCAAATTCAGGGAAAAGGAGTGCGCATTTGTCGGCTGCGTTTGCAGGACTCTACGAATTGGGACAACCTTCGTCGCATCACTGTGACGTATTCGGCCTACAAATGCAGCCTCAGGAGGATGCAGCCCATGAATTTGGACACCACCTAACTGTGATGAGATGAAGTGTGAGGTTGTGAGAAAATCTCTGACTGCATTCATAGATGTGTCCTTTCAGCTGCTCGCTCTGATCCAACCTTTAGGCTTCAGGGAGACGTTTGCTACGTTGGACTGTAGGACCATCAGAAATGTGTGCAGTAACAAAACAGGCAGCACTGAAAGCAGCTCTAAGTGTTTGTGTTGTTCAATGATTTGTGCACAACAACAACAACAATGGGACCTCTCTCATCCATCAGTCATCATGTGGACATTTTTCTGACACACTTTGAAGCTGATGGACGTTTTGTGTCTGCACTAAGTACGTTTTCAGCAGCTATGGCACCGGCAGGATTCACTTTCACAGACTCACAACCACCAGCTTCACCCCTCCCCTCCCCCTCCAGCTGTAGGCTTTAACATTGAGTTTCCCCACACATGTTTACAGACGAGTTAGAGAGCAAGAGAAGAAGAGACGGATTCATAAATGTCTTTGTTTCTGCTCTAACCAAACAATGCTGCTCTACAACTCTAAACTACCAGCCACAAAGACAACAGCTGGAGAAACATCTGTCTACCTCTGACATCCACCAGCTCATCCATACAACAAACAAACATCAACAACCAGGAAGCAGCTTCACCTCTGATCACACACACTCTCAACTCTACTCGCTCACCTGGAGAAACCCTGAGGTAGATGATGCTGATGAGCTCCCATGAGTGAGTTTCTTCCATGTGAACATAACACTCGTATGTTTCAGCATCATTAATCGTCACATCCTTCAGAATCAAAGACGCGTCTCCATCCTTCATCTGTCTGTCCTGCAGATCCACCCGGTTCTTAAAAGATGGATGCTGGTTGTCTGGATCGAAACGACCATGCTGGTACAAAAACACATTTTCTGGCAACAGGTCATCTCTTCTCCAATACACACGTCTGATGTTTGGAGCTCGACATGTCAGAGTGACGTCCTGTCCAGACTCAGCTGTGATGTTTTTCTGGTCTGAAAGAGGAAACAACACAGAGCAGAGAGGTTAAAGGTCAAAGTACAATTATTTCCTTTGACATTTGAGTTTTCAGTCATGTTGGATTTAATGAACCTCTGAACATCCAGCAGGTCACCAGTGACCCACTGAGGGGGGATTTTAGCCTCATGCTAAACATGCAAAGTGTCAGAAATATGGCTGGTTATCGTCGCTGATTTCTAGAATCGATTCAATTCCGATTCACAAGGTCCCAAATTGATTCGATCCACGTTTCGATTCGATTCAGGGAAATTTTGCCTCCGTCAGAAATATTGTAATTCTGATTATGTATCAGTACATTTCCATATTTTTATATATATAAAAAGAAATCTGACACTTGTGAGACTTTATCAAAAGAGTAAGCATCACAGCAGATGCCTTTGTGTCAAAGTAACTGAGGATAAAACACAGAAAAACATAAAGGCAACTTTTCTTGCCTGGGATTTTATATCAGAAAACCTTAAAAAATATTCTGCAGTAGATCAAAAATGAAAGAAAACCATTAACATATGCATTAACATTACCTGATGCTGTTGAAGTAAGGCAGAGCAAAGTTACCGAGGTTTTATTAGAGGCACAGCTAAGCGTTTTGCAATTTTTGCATAACTTTAAGTTTACATTTGTCCATTTACATTGGTTTACATTTAGCCTATTGAACGGCAGAAATTAGGTTTTCATTTTGGAAGTAAGCAAAAGGGAAAAAAAACACAGCGGCCGACAGCGCTGTAAACAACGGTAGACTTGTGCGTAATAAACAAGCGAATAATGCAGAAAACAGATTTTTAGATGGGAAACTGTTCTTGAAGAGAGAGAGAGAGAGAGCTCTGCATGAAGTGTGATTTTTATCGCGGTGAAAGCAAAAAAGCAAAACTAATTTATGACGATGTTTATGTGAAGCGTAGTTTGGATCTTCTTTTGCTGCTGGTTCAGTCAATATTGTTTGGAGAGAAATAAAACCTGCAGCTTCAGAATCTATCGCAAAAAGGAATGAGCAGACCGAGTAGTACAAAAAAATGTTTGCAGTTACTACAGTAGTGGAAATTTTTTCCCTTACTATAAATACTAATAAAGTGAAGTGACCAGTGCAGATTGTACAGAGTGCTTGTGAAGCTGCAGGGTAGCTTCTGAGTGCGTCCTGTGGACTGTGTTGTGTGTGTTTAAGTGTTGTGGTTGAGGTGTCGTATGGCTTGATGGGAGAAACTGTTTTTAAGTCTTGTAGTCCAAGCAGACAGACTCCTGTAACGTCTGCCAGGTAGTAACAAGGAGAACAGCTGATGTGCTGGGTGGCTGTGGTCCCTGATGATGCTGTGTGCTTTGCAGAGGCATCGTTGAAGACAAATGTCCTGAATGGCAGCAAGCCTCGTGCCAGTTTTGTGCTCTGCTGCTTTCACCACCATCTGTTTATAGCTATTTGGTGGTTGATGAAATTTTGTGAGGTTTAACCTGCGATTCTGGCGTTTCGGGAGAAATAAAATTATATCTAAAAGTCGATTCAGGATTTTAATGAATCAATTTTATGTTATCCAAGCTAGAATCGATTTTAATCGATAAATCGATAATCAAACCCACCCCCAGTCAGAAACTACAAGATGTTAGCTTCCACAGAACAACAACATGTGCTGATAATAAGTGAACATAATGTGTGAGAGAAAGCAGCCTCTCATTATAAGACACTGTGAGTCTCTGCATGCTGCCTTTATGGAGCTACAGCTGTTTGTATACACTGAACAAAAAGCTTTGTAGCTGCAGACACTACAACACATCACAGACAAACTAAATCTATATGATAATAACTCATAAGTAATAAATATTATTCAAATATAAACCAGACTGATACTTTATTCCTCATTATCCCAGAAACAAATAGTTAAATCTCACCTGCAGAGGCAACCACGACAACCAGCAAAGTCCAGCAGAGTGATGCAGTTAAAGCAGACATGTCCGTGTTCTCAAGATCTGCTGATCTGACTTTTAGTTTGTTTAAGTGACCAAGTCTGATATTGATTCTGTTGCTCACTTAAAATGTGATTTTAAAATCTGAGATTACATTAAAGTTTCAAACAAAATTTAAATTCATCAACTATTGTAACAAATGTATTTCAGCCCGTCTACACTTGTCAGTCAACATATCGTAAGGAATTCAATATATAGTGTCTTTTGGTAGGTTGGGCTATGGGACGATCATAAATAAGTGCGTCATAACGAAAGCAATGGAATGTAAAGCAGGTCTGCGTGTTTAACAGGTTTACAGGTGCGGGTTTTTTTATTGACATAAGCCTGTATATCTACGGGTAGTTTCCAGTAGAAGGCTCTGCCGGATGTTGTGGCTCACATGTGCCAGAATGTTCTCAGTGAAGGTTAAAGCAAAACACCGGACTCTGACGAAGTTAACATATTGCAGTATTTGGAAGGCGTAGCGAGGTACATGTTTTAAGCTGTACTTGATTATTTAGATGATATTTCATTGTATTCTCTAGTTTTTGGATTTATGCTTAAGTTTATATTAATAAGACGCATCTAGGATATGTATTTTCTGTTTTCTGTTTCGTTTTCACCAGATACACCGTGAAAACGAAACAGAAAACAGAAAATACATATCCTAGATTATCTGATGATAAGTCAGACTTCATTAGCCATGTCTTGGCCCAAACTCTGCTTCAGGTCACAAAATCAAGACTTCAGCATTACTGATTTACGAATAAATTCTTTACAAATCCTACCATGTGAATTCATGGATTTTTTTCACATTCTGTCTCTCACAGTTGAAGTGTACCTCTGGTGCAAATTACTGACCTCTGTCATCATTTTAAGTGGGGGAACTTGCACAATCGGTGGCTGACTAAATACTTTTTTGCCCCACTGGATCTCTGCAAAGGAAAGGGCATTTTTTTAAAGACAATGATAATGAGGGAATTCTTTCTGTGAATGAATGAAATATGAGCAGAATGTAAGGGCTAATAAAGCCCTTGAGGTGACTTTTGTTGTGATTTGGTGATATATGAATAAAATTGAATTGAAATGAATAAAGATTTACACATATACCTGTTGAATGCGTTTTTTTCATTGTTTTTGTCCCTGCAATCACAGACAAACCTCTATTTTTGAAGTGCCTTTGAGCAACTAATATACATCTTCCTCTGTAATATAATGCTGTGGGTAAACATGGCTGCTCTGGATTTACATCTGTGGATGGATGTGTTGATAAAATTATGAACCTGTATCTGCTGTGCGGACAGACCGATCACTGGAGTATTAAAGCTGCTCTTGAGTTTAAGTTTTATCCCCAGAATACTGAGTTTAGCCTCCATCTCCTATCTGTCAAACAGTCTTCGACAAAAACTTGACTGGATTAGTGAGAATGACAGTTTTAGAATAAAGCCAAGAGTCACTGACTGCATGAACACATCAGGTATTCAGCAACTTCCTGTAAATTACAAGAAATCCAAGTAGAGAAGATCAACTGAGTACACTTCCTCTTTGTGATGGAAGTGATTTTCTTCTTTATATTGTGTCAGATAAAGCCTGACAGCTTCTCTTGAATTCATTTCATATGCTGTTTTTTCACAGATGAAACCAGCCAACAGTAAATCAGATGCTTTCCACTAACTGCACATGACATCCATCTGTAACCACTTCCTGTTGTTCCCAAACCATCTCTGAAATCCTCAGAAACTTAGAATACATCTCCCAGTTTTTAATAATAATAATAATAATAATAAACTTTATTTATAAAGCACACTTAAAAACCAAGGGTATGCCAAGGTGCTTAACAAGTAAAATAGAGTATAGGAGGAGGATAATAGAAATAGGACCAAAGCAAGTACTAAATATGCAAGCAGATAACTGTCGCTAATACATAGGAAAGCAACAGGTACAGAGCAAACAATAATTTAAATGAGCATAAAAGTGCATGATATAAAATCATAAAAGAAATATTAACTAGAGGGAAAGGCAAGATTGAATAAGTGGGTTTTTCGTCGTGATTTGAACAGTGCAATGGAATCAGATGCGCGGAGGTCGAGAGGAAGGGTATTCCACAGTACCGGGGCAGCCAGAGCAAACGCACGGTCACCCCGGGACTTCAGTCGAGATCTGGGTTGGGTCAGAAGTAGTTGAGTGGCAGATCTGAGTGTTCTAGCAGGAGTATGTGGTTTGAGAAGTTCACTAAGATAACTTGGCGCTAATTTATTAATAGTTTTGAAAGTAAGAAGTAATATTTTAAATTGAATACGGTACTTTATGGGCAGCCAATGCAGGCTAGCTAGGACAGGGGTAATATGGCAAAATTTCCTGGTACCAGTCAAAAGGCGGGCTGCTGCATTTTGGACTGTTTGCAGTCTAAGAAGAAGAGAAGAGGGAAGACCGTAGTACAAGGAGTTACAATAATCCAACCTGGAGGTCACAAAAGCGTGAATAAGCCTCTCCAGGTCCTCATGCGGAACATAATGCCTAGCCTTAGAGATAAGGTGCAGTTGGTGGAAGCTAGATCTCACTACAGCAGACACTTGCTTATCGAGTTTGAGCGAGCTATCCAGCAGTACACCCAAGTTACTGACATAGTCACAAGAAAAACTAGCAAAGGAACCCAGGGCAGCACAGAGTTGGGCACGAGGGATTTTACTGTTGAACACCACAATCTCAGTCTTCTTATCATTCAAAACAAGAGAATTACTCAGGAACCATTCTTTGACCTCCCGCATGCATTCTTGAAAGTAGTGCAGGGACACAGCAAGGTCGTCAGCAAGTTCAAAATAGATCTGTATGTCATCGGCATAACAGTGGAAGGCGATATTGTATTTTTCAAAGATTGCGCCTAGAGGGAGCAAATACAATGAGAAGAGAATAGGGCCTAGAACTGATCCTTGAGGCACACCACAACAGACCGGAGCGGAGGAAGAGGAGAAGGTGCCTAAGTGAACTGATAAGGATCTATCAGCGAGGTATGATTTAAACCAGTCGAGGGCAGTGCCTCGAATACCCACAGTGTGCTCAAGTCTTAGTAATAAAATGTTATGGTCTACCATATCAAAGGCCGAAGAGAGGTCCAGTAAAACTAGGACCATAGAGCGTCCAGTATCAGTGATTACAAGAATATCATTAAGAACTCTAACCAACGCTGTTTCGGTGCTATGCAATGGCTTAAAGGCAGATTGAAATTTCTCAGCAATATTGTTCATGTCCAAGTACGCCTGGAGCTGGGAGAGAACTAGTCTCTCCAGGATCTTGGACAAGAACGAAAGCTTAGAGATCGGTCTATAGTTTGAAAGGTCATAACAGTCAGAATTTCTTTTTTTTAAGAATTGGGTGGACTACAGCATGCTTAAAGGCCAAAGGAACACAGCCTGCTCAAAGCTGTTAGGTCAAAACAGCTTTGAGCAGTAATCAGCAGGATTCTGGTGAACAGGTGCTGAAGTATAGGATGGAGCTCAGACTATTCTGGTCACACTGAGCAGTGACTGTTTGCTGATCTGCATCTGGACTTTGTGCATGTTTTTTTTATGTTAAGGTTATTTTTCATGCTGTTGTTTCCATTCATGTGTTCATCAGGAGCTCTCCTCTCAGTATTAAAAACACTTTGTTCCGGGAGCACGTGGCACACGCCAAAACGTACTCCCTGGCGTCCTTGTCCAAGGAGGGCCACCAGAAAAATCGCAGGAGGAAGGTGATGGTGCGGCGGACGCCTGGATGAAAGGTGAATCGGGCAGTGTGGCCCCAGTTGAGCACCTGGGCGTGGACGGCAGCAGGGACAAACAACCGCTGCTGACCTGTTGAACCAGCTGATCCAGCCTCTTATCTGAGCTGCAGTCAGTCACACAAACAGACTGAACAGGATGTGCTCTGTGCAGCACCTGCAGGTAAAACAGAAGCAAAGCTGTTCCTGTGAAATGAAAGTGAAAGCCTCTCTGAGCGTCTCCCTGTAGAAAGTGGAGGCTGAGGTCATTCAGATCACTCAGCCTGCAGACAAATGGAGGCGTGTTTGAGATGTGCAGATAAACAGTCGGAGCTTTGTGTCGGCCCCTAACGGCTCAGGGCCGTCCTGTTGTCATGCTATCAAGTGCATGACGGCTCTCTGCAGACACTTTGATTCCTTATTATGTAGATTTGGATTTCTTCCCCTTAATGACAAACACCTCTATTGAGAAACTGCATTTGGGGTTTTCCTTGTTTAACATTTAAATGTGTTTGATCTGAAACATTTAAGTGTGACAACATTAAAAAAAAAAAATAGGAAAGTTTCACACCTCTGTGTGTTTTTGTTTCCTTTCCATCTTATGTCCTTATATGTTGTTTGTTTGAAACTTGTGATTTGAAAGTTCTTAGACTGAGCTCAAACACATAAACTACCCTTTTTAATTTTGCATATTTATTTCCTATCTTATTCATAGCCTTTTCCTTTTTTGTTTTCTTTAGGTCACGAGTAGTTGTCCAAGCATTTCACTACATATCGTACTGTGTATGACTGTGTACGTGACAAATAAAATTTGAATTTGAATTTGAATTTAACTGTTCAGACATTAGAAAGGAATTGTTCCTCTGAGTATTTTAAGCTCCCGTTGTGTTGCTTTTATGTCCTGGTGTCACTGATGGCTGCTGCTGCTGTGACAAAAAAGACACAAACAATTTGATTTAATCAAAAACCACTCTGGAAATGCTCAGAAAAAAGACAGTTCATGGTTTAAAGTAGATTTACTTTAATACTCCAACACTGTTATTAAGTTGTCCAGTCTGTGTATAACAGCACTGCCTGCATGAGGTCAAACTGGATCATTGAACATAATGTTTCTTGATGCATGCCACTAGAACAGTGCGCTGGTTTCAGTTATTGTGCAAATGTAAAGTCCAGATGAACAGAATCTACTTTTTTGATATTGCACATAACAATTTTCATCCAGAAGACTTCATTAGACCTTCACACATGTCTGACCCTGATTTATTCCAAATTTTAGAAACTTCAGAGCGTTTCCAAAGTCTGCTTCCTGTTTAATGATTATTATTATTGTTATCACTATCATTTATTTATTTTATTTTGATGTGTCATTAACTTTTAGTTGTTCAAAGTGTTTTTTCTTTGTCTCTGTGCTTTATGACGTTATCAGGG